GCCATGAAACCTGCAACACCAACTATAACAGAAGCTATTGCAAAAGTCACCCACAGGCAGCACAACGGGTTGGGAATGAGCAGAAGGGAGACAACGAGCATCGCCCCGGCAGCAACGACAACGTTCTGAATGGTGTTCTGCACTATTACCAGGTACTGGTCATAGTAGATGAACGCTGGGTGATACACCTTCAGTGGAATACTGCACTGCCTGGCTGTCTCTCTTAACTGATTGAGAAGATTCTTCTCATCAACAGCTGAGGTCACGTCCACTGTCTGGAGGAAGAAACGTGAAGCTTCTATTTCATCCCGAGTCTTGTTTAAGTCCCACGCAAAACTGGAACGAATGCTGAACAGTACAGGTAAGTTATTAAAGAATTGAGTCTTATCATTTATATTTATCGAACTGCTTTCAGCGAGTACTGTGTATACTCTCAGCCAGGACTCTGAGAGGTTCTTATCAACGTAGGAAATGTTCTCCAAATTCTGTGCACAGCTCTCAATGCCATGACGAACCGTCTCATTCCAGTAATCTACCCTTTCAGGAATGACAACCATGACCCTGGGTCCATACGTTGAGAAGTATTTCTCATCGTCATCATAGTATGGAATAACATAAGAGTCATCATCAGCCAGATTTCGAAGATCAATGCCTTCCCTGATCTGAGTACACCCATAAACACTGCCACCCAAATACGCTCCATACAGCAACACCACGAGGAGCTTGACCCATTTAGTTGTAAAAAAAGGCCCGTAATACTCTTTAAAGAATATGCTCATTGGATGTTCCCCTTCTGGCTCAGAGGAATGCCTGGAACAGCTGCCGATACAGCAAGCGTTATACAAGCAGGAGTTCTCAGCCCGATCTTTATCTACTCCCACACGCATACAAGTCAGCCAGTGTCGGTTTCCTTGCTCCCTTTTATGATTTAATACAAGAACTGCCCCAAAGAAGGTCATGGTATATACATAGCAGAAGATAAAAGCAGTGCCTGTATAGAGGCAAAAAGCTCTCACGGATGGAAAAGCAGTCCAGGTGCCAATGAAGAAGGCCAAAACATCTGTGAGAGTGGTGATGGTCACAGAAAGCGCTGCCTCTGAGTAAGTCTCAGTCAGCAGAGATTTAACATTGGATTTCTCTTTTTTCCTTGAACTTTGTTCCCAGGAAGCGATCATGATGAACATGTCATCAACGCCAACCCCTGCAAGAGGAGAAAAGGTTAACTCTGCATTGCAAATGGCAGCTTCCACTAACCCCCAACAAAACTACAACATTAATCACATCTAAGTCTGCACAAAATTTTGAAAAAGGAAGTTGGGCTATTAATAGTGCTTTAGTGGTGATACAAGTTACAAGAGAATCAGGAAAACAGATCCTTTGTGTGTATTACCTTTCAGAAACTCCTGGTGACCTGATGGGCTGTTGATCCCTCACCCTCCTCACTGTAGCAACTTAGACCAATAATTCCTTGCTCTGCAATCAGCACAAAGGGAGAGCAGTTGCTCTCACACAGGACAACAGTGATCCCAGTCTTCCAGTGGCTCACTTTTTTATGCTCTTTGTCCTCCACTTGTCTCCAGTTTATCCTTCAGCACTTATTCACAATTCATTATTAATTTATCTCCACATTTATACTGATCCACTCACAAATATTTCCCACCAGAACCCTCCTAAACTCTGCCAGAAAGACTGGATACTGGGCTTGGGGCTTTGCTAAGACACCGGAGCAAGTGAGCTGAAATATGAAAAGGAAAAGCCAATGTGCCTCTCTCAGCTCTGCCAACTCTCAAGATTTTAATCACACACCTTTCAATATTTTGCCAAGGGCTTTTCTATTTCCCAAAAATTAACCACACAAAAAGGGAAAGCAAGACTGGGTGAGCAGAGAAGGGAGTACAAATGATTTAGCCAAGCGTAAGAGAATAGATGAAATCACTCCCTGCTGCCTGAACAGGCAGTTGCCAGTAGACAAGCAAAGATGAAGTAAGCAGCACGTCAAAAGGTACTAGTGGATGGCAGTGAGCCATGCTGCTTCCAGAAAGCAGGCAAGTACAAAGCAAATCATCTGATGTACTGAGAAGTTGTTTGCTTTAATGCAAGGAGGACAAAAGTCTGCATGTTATTTCTGAAGATCTGAAGGGCTTCAGACCTTTCCAGGTATACAAAAGGGTTTTTCGGACCCTATTCAGAGCCACTGCAATTGATGAGCAAAAAAAACAAATACAAAATGCATTGGAATTATACAGGAAACAAAGAAATGATGCGTGCCCTAAGGAGCATTTGCATTAGACAGCTAAGATGATGCACAGCCTCTATCAACCTGGAAATTCTATGAGCTTTCCTCAGCATGAGACCAAGCCCAAGAAAACTTCACATGAATTTATCCCAAGGAGAGCAGATAAGGATTTTAAAAGCAGTAATTTATTTGCAGCAACATTATCAAAGGGCATTTGGAAAGTTCAGCGCTGCCTGTCAAGTAGTCTGTGCTACAGTGATGTAATGATACCAATTTTCTTGGGTTTTTGTGGGGAGCTGCTTGCACAAATGGTGCATCACTTCAGTTGTGTAGCTGAATGAGACTGGTTAGTACAAAGTCATTATACTGCAGAGGATTAATCATCATGGCTACAAGTACACTAGAACAGTGCCAGAAGTATTAACCTTACCACTCTCTCATTTATAGTTTTCACACCATGGCAGTGGAACTAGAGCAGGCATTGTTTTCTGGGAAAAGCTGCCCTTGCTCCAGAACACAGCTGAGCTGAGCTGAGGGGCTCACCTGCCTGTAGGAGCTCTAAGGAGGCTGCACCTCCAGGTGTCTGCTCCCCTCACTGCACCACAGAATGCTGTATGATTTGATGCTCACATCATAGAAGACTGACACCATTAGGTTGTTTTAACTTTGCTTTAGTCTTTGATTCAGACTCACTTTTCTACTTACCCAGAATCAGGAACGGTGCGTTTGCTACAGTGACCACAAACGGCACTCCACAGAAGAGCATCAATCCAAAGCTGCTTAACACAGCTAAGCCAGCAGAAACCACTCCACAGCAGGCAAGCCAGACATTATTTCTTATACAGCTCAGTCTGAAAATATTTCAAGGAATATCTTCATTACGCGTTAAATATTTCACCAAGGTATTTGTCATGACAAGTGCACAGGTACCAGTGATACCCTGTCTGAAGAGAACTCCTTACAAAAGTTGCTAGGAGGGCTCCCAGGTGTCAGCATTGGAGAAGGTTAATTTCTCTAGGAGGTGCTCTATGCATTATTACCACTGGCCAGCTATATTCAGAAGAGTAAAGATGTGTACTGATCTTTGTATCAATAACAACAGAGATGCAAAATGAAGATACATTAGTTCTACCAGTGAGGCTAGACTTAGGGTGACCCAAAAAATGATGAATTTTTAGAAGCTCTTTGCTTTTACATGGGTTCTTGGTGTATCACATCAGTGTAATACAGAAGCCCCTCCCAGGCAGTAATGCCACACAGAGAAACTTTCTCCGCAGGCAGATTGACTACCAGCTTTTTGCCAAGACACCCCTGAGGGCTGGCTCAAGGATTCCCCAAGAAATGTTCTAATGGGCATGATGCTTGATGCAAGTGCTAAACCAGGCAGCCCATCCTGCAAGCAGAACATTTCTTCTCAATACAGTACACAAACACTGCTGTGCAGCTCACCATCCAACACCATAAAGAAAGGGCAGGTTAAGTTCTCTGTGGACAGCAGATAAGGCTCTGACTCTACTATCAAGCAGAACACCTAGAGCTGTACCCAGATTTGCAGTAATCTATGAGGCTAGTGCTCATCCACCTGAACCTTAACTAAGCTCTGAATGCTTGTTCAGGTATTCATCTGCTACTTATCATGAACCCCATCTAAGCAGTTGGGAAACATGCACAGGTAGACAAGAAAGAGCAAAGAAATACATTTTGCCTGTTATGAAATGTCACAGTCTGCAGCTTCAAGAACGCTTTCACTCGACCAGAAGCAGAAACCAGAGCAGAAACCAACAGAGGCAGGTAAAGAAAAGCAGAAGTCACTGCTCATTGAGCCATAGCTTAGAAGGCATTTTACCTTAAGCAAGAGATGATTGCAAAGTTTATTGTCAAGAAATAGGTTATGGAGAAGAGCGGGATCACGCTCTTGGTATTTCCTTCAAACTCCTGTTGTCTGGACAGCGACGTAAAGTAAGTCACCTGCCATTAAAAGAACAAGGAAAGAAACTATGAAGCACATTTTTTTCTTTTTGGTCTTTGTACACACGCACAGGCAAGGCTAAACATCACGTTGGCACTATAGCATTGCCGTGGCCCTCGCAAGCCGCAGGCCACCCGCCTTCTCCCCGCACCGTCTCCTTTCCTTTCCACGGCGGGGCTGCCCGGACATTTCGGGGCTCGGCGGCTCCGCACGGCCGTACCCGCCCCTGCGTTACCCGAATGGAGCTGAGGTCCAACTCCCTCAGCTTCGACGAGATGTTCCGCAGGAAGCTGTGCAGCCACTGCCGGCTGTCCTCCGCCTCGGGGCCGTCCTCCCGCAGGTAATACACCAGCTTCAGGGCCCGCGCCGACAGCAGCCGCCCTCCGTCCGTGTCCACGCCGCCCAGCGCGGCCCCCAGGAAGACGGTGCCGTTGACGGGGAACTGGAGGCTCCCCGGGGCGGGCGGTGGCTCATCGCCCCTCCGCGACAGCAGCGGGTTGGGGCTGGCGCAGCTGCCGTCGCTGCGGGCGCAGAGCCGCTCGTAGTCGGGGTCGCGCACGGTCTTGTCCAGCCGCAGCACCTCTTCCCACGCCGTCGGGTCCAGCACCGAGGTGCCGTTGGTCACCACGGCGATGAGGGCGGCGTAGGCGCCCTCGGTGGGCAGGCGGGGGGCGGAGAAGCGCTGCGAGTCGTTGGTGGGGAAGTGCCGCCGCACCAAGTCGCGCTCGGCCTTGGCGGGCCCCCCCGTCGGCGTGAACTGCTCCTCGATGTCGTTCGCCTGCCGCTGCGGCAGGAAGAGGAAGCCGGCGCCCAGCCCGCCCGACAGCAGCAGCGGCACCAGCACGAAGGGCCAGGGGCAGGCGGCCACGCCGCTCGCCAGCCCTTCGAAGAGCCGCCGCAGCGGCCGCTCCAGGCAGTCGGTGTTGCGGCAGGAGCAGCGCTCCGCGGGGTCCCGCGGCCCCGCCATGGGC